AGTTATTGTTGTTTAAAGTTTAAAAAAAATTTACTTAGAAAAAATTTGCTTGATTTCTATTGACTCAACCCCATATGCAGGATATATACATATATATATATAGAACTCCTGGATTCACAGATTCATGAGAGCAAGAATCTAAAAGAGTAATTCGGCAGATTTAAATATCAATATTCACTAATAGTGAATCTTTATTAAAAATTTTAACTACAATCATCTGCAGTATTACGCACTCTATATCAAAAAGTATATGTACAATGAAATCTTTTACTCAGAATTGAAGGTTTCAAACACCATTCGATTCGTCTTGGTAAGATGAATTGAATGGTGTAAGAATCATTAATTTTCAATAAATAAAGTCATATGCAAACTTTAATATAATTTGATTCCCACCCCACTGAATTACTCCCCTTCACCTTATAATTTAATTTAATTTATTCTATTTATTAATTTATTTGTTTTTAATCTATGTTTTTTTTTTATTTTTATTAACTTTATTTAAATTGTTTTTATTTTTTTTTTATTTTAATATTTTAGATTTCTTCGCTTAACTCTAAAGATAATTCGCATTCGCAGGATGTGCAGATATTAAGGAATAGGTTAATAATATGCGATGATATATATGTGATTGTCTATAATACAATAAAAATGTCCACATACTTTGATAAAAATGAGTCCTGCTTTTTAGAAATGTGGTGAAATAAAATAATTAGCAAGGATGGGGTTTGTATATTCAGAAGATACAATAAAATAAATGATATTAGATTTATGTTTATGTTTCAAACCAAAGAGTAGAGGCAATTAATTGAATCCACAAGAGTAGTGTGTTTGAACGGAACATATGAAACAAACCATCATGGGTATCATTTATTTATACTTGTCATATGGCATTCAGTAGTAGGAAGCGGATACCTGGTTGTGTTCTTAATAAGTGAGTTTAAATGAATGTCAACATTAAAGGAGTGGTTTAGTTTTTTAAAGCGTGAAAATGAAAGATGGAGACCAAATATTTTTATGATCAATGATGCTGGAGAAGAAATAAAGACAACCCAAGAAAGTTGTTCTGATAGTTTCGTGTTTCTGTGTCATTTTTATGTGCTACGTTCTTGGCGTAGAAAACTGTGCTATAAACGTAGTGCAAATAATGATCCACAAAAAGAAGTTATTTGGGAGAATCTCTGGTGATTATTAAAGACAGAAGGGTGGTCCAACATGGAAGCTCAAGCACAGATAGTGAGTGCAATTAATCGGTGAAGAGAAATGAATAACGAGATAATAAATAATTTTGCAGTTTACTTCGAGCATTGGTGGAAACCGAAGTATAAGATGTGGATAGTCTGTATGAGAAGCGTTGCTAGAGACATGATGAATACAAATAATTTAATAAAATCATTCTATTATAAGCTTAAGTATACTTATATAAGAGGGTGACCAGGTATGATTCAAATTTTAAAATTATTTAGTTATTAACTCACTTAAAATATTTAATTAATTATATATTATTATCTATATTTCTTTATTTATTTTTATTTATTTTTTTTTATTTTATCATTTTTATTATAATATACATTAAGTCTAATTGTATATATTTATTTATTTTTTTATTTATTAACATTATCCAGTAATTTTTAATGAAGTTAAGTCTTGTAACCAATTTCGATTCTATCCTAATAGGGCAATAGCTTGATGGCGAAGTGCATCTTCTTGTAGAAGTTGTGCTTCGTGATATGAATTTTGCCGTTTTTCAGAGTGAATTAAAAATTAGAAGGATGAATTAATGGCAGCGTCAACAACGTATTAGAGAAATTGCAGGATCCATATACATCAATAATAATAATATTTATAATATCCAGCCAGATCTTTGGATAATATGTTCCTTAACCAATGACGATATAGAGTATTTAGTCAGAAAAAGAGATCTCACAAGCGATGAAAATAGCCTTGATACTGCCCCCTATATTTGTAATTGTCATGATTTTCAATCATGACAATTACTATGCAAACATGTGTTTGCCGTATTAGCATGAAACCAAATATATGAAGAAGATATAGGGGATGATCAGTTATTACTGCCTGTGGAATCAGATTTTTCTGATTCTCAAATTTCTCACAATCTTTGTGTAAATCAAAGAACTGATAAGAACTTCCAATTTGCAAAATTGCAAGAAGAACTTAAGAATGGAACAATATGGGAGGAGAGGATATTTATAATCTGTAAATGGCTATCCAGCAAGTTACCCAAATGGAACGTGCAAGAATTGCACAGATAGAATCCATTCCTCGAACTACCGATAATAATGAAAATAATGAGTCAAGAGTTGCACCAAACGCAAAAATTATGAGACAAAATAAGTATTAATTTCTCTCATTTTTTTTGTAAGTATACATTTAAGATCTGTTAACTGTTAGCATTTCCCCCGCTGCATGCATTTAAATAAAATTTATAACAGTAAAAAAAAAAAAAGTTAAATATTCAACTTTCCTATCTTTTATACTGAACAAACAATTCTATAAGATAAAAGCATTTTATATAAGTTACATTCTCAATAAATTAATAATGTATATTTTTAAAAAAATTTAAGTTCATAATTAAATCGTTATTGGTTTATTTTAAAATTTTTGTTGTATAAAAAAAGTTTACAAGTTTAATAAATTGATTTCACGAAAGTAATTTGGCGAAAGTTTTGAGTTCAATGTTCTCACGAAAGTGATTTGGTGAAAAGTTTGAATTTAATATTCTCACAAAAATGGATTGGCGGAAAGTTTGAGTTAAATGTTTTCGCGAAAGTAACTTGGTGAAAGTTTTAAAATTTTTAAGAAAATAATTTAACAATTAAAATTTTGGCTGCAATTATTCGTTTATTATTTTTTTATTCAATGGCAGCGTAATTGTTTTGCCCAATCGGAGACTACTTATTGCGTCCAATCAGAAGTGGTTGGGGAAATTAGGGCTCTCAGTTAGCAACAGCTTAAATTTTACTTATAAAATTTAGGTGCGTCAATCATTAACCTATTAAAATGATCTCGACTTACTGGCGATAAATTCTGACGCGTGACGTAAACAAAATATACGTTATTAGTCGATCGATCGACTATTATAAATAAATGGACTTTTAATCACTATTTTAACTTCGCTGTCAATATGGATGTTTATTCGCTTATAAATCATAATTCCCCTTCTCCACGAATTCATCATTCCTCGACATCGCAGGAACAAGTTAACTGCATACCCGAATTCTCTTCGTTTGAGCATCAAAAGGAAAATATTTTACCTTTAAAACAAGGTCGAAGTGGTGCTTCGTTATCTAGAGTCTTCTCTGGTGATTCTTACTCTTTCGGAATTGACCTACAGGCTGGTCATGCTCAATTCAGAGCTGAGCTTGAGAATCTCAATGAGCTTGATGATCCTTTTGATGTTTACCATCGTTACATAAAATGGACTATTGAAAATTACCCCCAAGGTCAAACTCCCCAATCAAATTTAGTCCAACTTTTGGAACGCGCTTCTCTAAGTTTTGTCAATGATTCGCGCTATAAAAGTGATCCAAGATATTTGAGATGTTGGTTACAATATGCAAATTTTATCGGAAAAACAAAACAGCTATTTGATTTCTTGAAAATCAACGAAATTGGCATCAATCTAGCTGCTTACTATGAAGAATATGCTGAACTATTGGAAAGTATGGAGAGGTAATGTATATTTTATTGAAAAACGCAATTCGAATTTTTTGGAAATGGGCCAGAATTATACATTTACGTTCATCTGACTAACGTTAGCATTAGTAAAGGTACTGGTGAAATTAACACCAACTTTTTTCACCAATAGTGATGAAATCACCAATACTAGTTAATTTCACCAGCTACTTTTAAATTAGCATTAGTCCGGTTTATGGATAGGATTAAGGTCAATATTATGATGTAAAATTTCGTCATTGACATTTTTATTCATGCTTCATATAAACTTAGACTATCGGAGAGGTTTTTTTTTTGTTTTTGTTGCCTAGACGATCTTTATAATTCTGCGTAATGCTGGCTCATTTTTGGTGAATTTATATTCTTTAATTCAACATTTATTATTATTTTTTTTTCTAGATATAATGATGCTGAGGAAATATTTATATCCGGAATTAATCAAAAAGCCCAACCACTGGAACGTCTTATCCGTCGATATAACCAATTTAAAGCGCGTTTAAACTCGTCACGTGATTTCGAAGCATCACAAAATCTTCCTCAAATTGAGAATCCCCATCGAACCATTCTTGGTATAAAACCTTCTGCTTCATCAACACGATCAGTTCCATTAAATGTTTTTAATCAAAGAAATTCTACTCTTCCAAATATCGTTGATTCAACTACCTATCAACATAATCATAATGAGAAATTTTCTGTATTTTATGATCCAAATGGTGAATTAGGGAATGCTGCATTAGTTTCTGAAAATATTTCTTCATCTTGGAATAATTATGGAACAGATATTACCAATAAAAAAGAGAACATTCGAGATGCTGAAAAATGGAAAGGAATAACGTTACCTCAAGCTCGAAAGCCCAATGTTCCAACCACTTCGAAATTGAAGATTTATCATGATGAACTCCGAAATGAAAAAATATTTGTAGACCTTAATACAATTTATGTTGACGGAAACGAATTTTCTTTTGAAGAACTTCGTGCGATGGCTTTAAAACAACATTCAATAATTTCCAGCAGTTACAATAATAGAATGTGTGTAGATAATTTTGAAAATAACGTTAATGAATTAAACACTATGGATCAAAAATTGAAAGACGAATCTAGGTGTAGGTATTTTGTAATCAAAATTATTATTAAACCTATTATTTGTTAATTTACTTTTCATTAAATTTTCCAGCCATTTCTCCAAAGAAACTTGCCAAAAAACCTTCTCCAACCATTAATACTAAAGCTGCTTTGGCCGATATATTGGAAATTTTTAGTCAACCAATGAACTACGAGAAGTCAGACGATGATACGGACGAAGACGACATAACATCTGTATCAAAATATGATAAATTATTTATTCGCAAAACTCCTCGGAATAATATTATAAATGATGAAAATGTTGCTCCATCAAATTATTCTGATAACCATGGCAACTTTAGAATGGTTCCGTTTGAACTCTTGACACCGATACAAGAAACTAGCCGAGAATATAGGTCAAACTCTACATCTTTCTATCATTCAGATGGTTTTATAACTTTAGATTTAGGATCTATGACCGGAACACCTAAGCATAAAAATATGGAGCAATTCGGTGAATCCCTCTTTATGAAACCTCCACGATTATTTCCGGTGCCTTCAAATCCTTGCAATCCATTAGATACAAGATTAATTGATCAGATTTTGTCTTCTTTAAACCCTTCATTGGTACAATATTCTGGTTTTTATGATCTGAGAGGTGAATGTTCAAATAATCATGCGAAATTAGAAAGAATTGCCCGAAATTGGGATAAAAACTGTCGGCGTCGTTCTAGTAGCGCAACTAATTTAGATGAACCGATCAGGTTATTTAATGACTCCTTCTTAATCCGTCAAAAGATTGGTGAAGGTGCATATGGTAAAGTTTATCGTGTATTGGATCTTAAGTTCGTGTCCGAAAGTCACAAAGACCCACGGGCGTCACGTGCTTTAAAACTTCAAATGCCTTCTACAGCTTGGGAATTTTACATAATTCGAAAATTACATGAAAGAATTAGCTCTCCTACAATTAATTCCATAATAACTGCACACTCTTTGTATTATTATAAAGATGAAAGTTATTTGCTTACTGAGCTTTGTTCTCATGGAACGATCGTGGATGCTATAAATACTGCAAAAAGAGAGAATTCTACAATGGATGAAATTTTAGTAATTTTTTTTACTATCGAACTTATGAAAATAGTCGAAGCGATTCATGAAGCGGGAGTAATTCATGGTGACATAAAGGCGGATAATTGTCTATTGAGGTTAGAGCGAACAGTTGAGTGGGATCCTCAATATGATCCATCAGGTGCCCATGGTTGGTCAAAGAAAGGGATTAAACTAATCGACTTTGGAAGAGCAATTGATGTTACATTATTTCCTCCTGATATGAAATTTATAGCTGATTGGAGATGTGATGATCAAAATTGCATTGAAATGAGAGAAGGTAGACCATGGAAATGGCAAGCAGATTATTACGGTTTAGCTGGCGTAATACATTGTATGCTACATAATGAATATATGCAAATTACTCCTGTGCGAATGGATATCGATTCATTCTCATCAGGTGCAACTATTTCGACAAAAAAATATAAGCCGATACAATCCTTCAAACGTTATTGGCAAGGAAATCTATGGGCTAGGCTATTTGATATGCTATTGAACCCATCTTTAGTTCGTTCAGACGGACGATTACCAATAACTCAAGAATTAAATAGTATAAGAAAAGAGTTTGAACAATATTTGATTGCTAATTGCGAAAAAATTGGAAAGGAGTTAAAAGCGCAATTGAAGAGATTAGAAGTTAATAGTGAAATAAATTATCATGGTTGAATACTTAGATTTGATTGGCAATTTTTCATGATAATTTTAATTACAAAATTTTTTGTTTTTGTTTTTGAATTAATAAATTTTAATATAACGATTGATAAATACGTTACATAATATCTTGGCAAGTGTATTAACTAAAAGATTGTCATTTAATTTATGTTCTAATTTCGTCTGAAACGGAGCGAAGGCCTATCACTGTTCAGGTTGTCCGCATACGTGACATCATTTTTTTGTTTATATCACTTGAAATTTTATTGTGCCGCAGGATCAAACAGTCGCCGTTGTAAGTACTGATGTATACTAAAATCCTTTATTTATTCGCGTCGCATCAAATGATGGTTTCAGGTCACGAGTAAGTTTTCTTTTTTACGCGTCCTCTTTGCGTTATTGCTCTTAAATGACTAACCTTTCCTCTTTATTATATTTTGTCACCTTACCTAATACTATCGTGCAGACTCAAGACATGATACATTCTGCCAATTAACCCCGACCAAGGACCGGAAAAATTTTGGATCAAAATCAATCCAAATTTTTTAACGTTGGCCGAATTTTTCCAAAAGGTTAACATTAGCCAAGAATTCTATTACACGAATAAGATATTTCGATTCATTGTAATTTTAATTAGCTATAATCAAATACTGAAATATGATACTTTGAAATATTTTGACTAAGGGTTTCATCGTCTTTTCCATTTTTCCAATTGGTGTGATTTTAAAAATCTTCTTTTTTTATATGATTTTATACCGGTATATAGAAATTACGATGATTATTTTGCATATAATCATCGTGATTAGGGACGTTATTATTGGCTTGTTCGCTCTATTCATCGATCAATTTTTATAATAGTTAAACATATAAGCCGGATTATATGTGTGAACGAAATTATTTCTAGTTCAAAAACCTGAAATTAAAATTTGAAGACAAAACTGTTTTTGTTTTATTTTACTTAAAGATAATTTTTTGATATTTTGTTTAAATAGATGAAATTATAAGGAACATAAATATATAAATTAGATTTGCTTTTTTTTTTTTTTTTTTTTTTTTATAGTCTAAAGGTTAGCCTCTTTGGCTGGTATCTACCGGTAGGTGGTAGCTACCGGTAGCTACCACTACCGAAGTTTACTAGTTACATGATTTATTTGACAAATCATATACTTTTTGATATTTATGGTTAATTATATAATTTAAAATTTTATTATATTATTTTATTGGTATCTACCCTGCATATAATTTTCCTACCGGTATCTACCGTTATCTACCGGTAGATAGCATAGCGGGCTTTCACTATGATTGGCTGATTTTTGTAGATCATTTTTTGTCGTGACTAGGATTTTATCCAATCAGAGGTGGCGTTGATCATTAAGAGAAGACATGATTTAATGATTACAAAATACTTAATTTTTATTAAAAAAAAAATAAAATCAATTGAGATGCTAAACTGCGATTTTATTACTTATTTTTTATTATCATTTTTTTTTATTTTTTATTTATTAGTTATAGTAATAAAAGATTAAAATACATAATAAAATTCAACATTAATAAATTATTCTATGCTGCTTTAAAATTATCCATAGCCGTATTGTAAAACCGATCAACATTACTATCTACAATTACATTGTCAACCTCAACAGTACTAGTATTTTTCTTAGTAGTTTCTGTAGTATTTTGTTCACTTTCACCCTCAACCGTTATGACTTCAGCCGAATTTATAGTATCGTCAAAACTTCGGCAGTTTCTTTCGATTCCGTTCACAAAGTAGTCCGTACAATACTTGCATTGACTGCCCAACCTAAATAATAAACATTCAAAGTGATAAGCGTGATCACAATTAAGTATAAATCCTACCTCACACGTCCTCGTACAGTCTTCCAAGTCGCAATACTTATCGTTTCGTGGAGGATGAATGGTACTCCAGGCTGTTGGTAAGGCTTTAACATCAATGTCGTCATCTAATGTTGGAAATCCATATTTCGAATTTTTTGAAATCGACTGACCTATATTTTTATAAACATTAGTAAAAAGGTTTAGTAAAAATACTGCAGATCTCTTTTCAAGAAACTCTAGTTGCTTCGCCGTATATCTGATATTATGATCGTCAGAGAAGGTTTCTACAAAAGTATTATTATTACGCAACAGATCTATCATCTGTGCTTCCCGAATGATTTGATCTGCTGTGTTAGATGGTTGTACCCGACGTCTAATTGAACTATGAAAATTTTCTACATAGTAATCATTAAAGACGTGAAGAGAATTAGCCAGTGTCCGCGTGATAGGATGATTAATACTATCCCAATAAAACACATCGCTTAAAAAGGCTAGTGGTAACTTGTTATAATTTTTTCTCTGGTATCGGTAAAAAATACACCAAATACGAAACATGGCTTCTCGATAAACCGGCCAATTTCCACTACGAAATAAAACAGGATAAAAATCCAAAACTAGTGGAATATCGTTATCGAGAAGGTTAATCAGGTATCTGGCTTCAGGATCTTTTAACCGTTCAAACTTCTGTAAAATGATTGAACGGATTTGAGACCAGCCTTTAAATGCTAATTCTAATAAAAGATTCATTTTGTAAGGCTTTGGCTTTTTAGCTAACACCTTCCCACCTCCATAAATATCATGAAAAAACTTATCAAAAAAAGTATAATTGACAAGAAACACAGATTCACGACTATTTAAGGATACGTGTAAAGGACCAATCATTGGCACAATACGAAGAACCTGCTCCGGTATAGCAGAAGAATTCCCAAGTCTAATTCTACACACAACGGCACGCCGTACATTAAGCTGTCTAGGGTAATCCATGGGCGCAACCACAATTTGATTCTCCAAATACGATTTCGCCTCATCGATATCCGTCAAGCTTTGAAGAGCATTTGCATAATGCTCTACCGTACGAAGTTGACCCACTTTTAGTCCAACAAGCTTAGTATTATCCATACTCCGGTCTTCTTTACGTTGTTCAATTCTACTATCGTAACTGTGGACTAAAAGATGTTCGACCCGTTCCTCGTGTGTTTCAGGTATAGAAACTGAATCGATAAACGTCGACCTTCGCACTGTGTAACTATGCCATAAATGGGGAAAAAAATATAAGTTAGCATTATCAATAATAATTTTTGCATCAATACCTCTTTCATTATGAATGTTTTTATCCCTAATATTCGGAATTGATGCTGTATCTGGTAGGGCTTTAAGCAATACGGTGACGAAGTGAAGAATTGCGTGTGTTGTAGTCGTATCGCTATGGCGATACTCATGTATATTATGAAAATCGTCGATGTTAAGCACGATTAACTTTCCATCCTAATAAAATTTATGTTAATCAATTGATATTTAAAAAAAATTCTTTATGCCTAATGCTTACATTATTTGATAGAAAACTTCCTATTGTCGTCACTTGCGTTTTTGCATGTTGG